CTGGAGAAGCTATCGACCCACAGCAGCGAGAACGAGGAGAACCTGTCAGGGCGCGACAAGGCCATGAAGGCGCAGGAGAAGAAGAAGCTCGAGGCCATGATTGAACGCCACAAGGGGCTCATGGGTCCTACCATGGAGGCACAGAGTATGTGGACGCCGAGGCTGTTGCGCCCCTCCTTCCCTTCCCGCGGGGGCTGCGGCGGCGCTGCTCTCTCTCTCTCTCTCTCTTAGGCATGAGTTCCGAGGCCGACCTGTGACTCACACCCGCTGTCCGTCGTCCTTGGTTCCCGTCGCGGCCGCAGCTTGGGCTGGCTCTTACCACGACTGCAGCTGTTATCGGTCGTTTTATCTGGTCTTTGTCGCCGCCACGACCGATGATGCCTTTCGCGTCTGGTTCTAGCCACGACCCCGGACGGCGTCGACTGCTGCCACGACCGCAGCCGCTGTCAGTCGCTCTGGTTTCGCCTCGACCGCACTTGTCCTTGGCTTTGGCCGCCTCACGTTTCTCCTCGTCTTTCCCGACTTAGAGAATACTCTTGTCGTTTCACGCCTTTCACATTTTTTTTCTTTCTTTCACTCTCTCCCTTTGCCCCTTTCTCAAATTCTCTTTCTATTACCATTTCTTTACTCAAAACGTGATGGAAAAAGCGGTAAGGACAAGGGCTGGTAAAACTGTGTTTTTCTTTAGAAAGATTCGAGATTCTAGTGTCAGTCGAAATCAAGTGTTGTGTCCAAATCTGTGTGCTGTCAGTCAGTCCCCACAAAGACTTAGAACACAGCCTTAGAATAACAAGGTCTAGACATTCGATGTTTCCCCCTAGAAAGTGTCCTAAATGGCACCTTTCCCTTTCAAAAAGACACCCCCCCACCTGGGCACGCCAACCCTTCACCCCCCAAGAATGCATTACCATTGGCATCATAGAGGCACATAAAGGCATTATAGCATACTCTCCGATCACTGTCCACTCCTGATGAAGGATCAAGAACTTCAATCAAAAAGTTCTTCCCTCATTATGTCCGATTTCACCAGAGTGGATAACGATAAGAATGGGAGGGACTTATCTCCAGAACTAGCTTTGTTCAGTAGACTTTCTTACTGAGTTAGAAGAGAGCCGTAGTTGCTTCCGAGACCCTGTGTGCATAGATAAAGTTAGAGCTAAGATGGAGTGCTTTCTATTTTATGGTTTATTTCCCATTTATCCCACAGTCAAGATGAAATTATATTTTTTTATATGTCAAAATCACTCATTTCGAATCCAAAGATACACTCCCAATCACTTACAATCTCTCACCACGAATCCCTCTGATCGAAACACGACATCGAATCACTCCCGGATGGCAAAACAGAGACACTTCGGCAAACCAGATCAGCATTTCGGAGCAAGACAGACACACCAAAGAATCCTTCTATTTTAAAGAGAAAACGCCAGTTGCTCATCAAAAAAAGATATAAAGAAAAGACAAAGAGCACCCACCACAGCCCACTCTTTGCAAGCCACTATTTCTGTGCCTTGATTGTGGGACCCACGAACCCTTGTTTGAGCATTTCAATGAGACGCCAGAGAGTCGATGCGTTCTTGTAGCCGTCTAGTCTGTGTGAAGGCGCGAACGGCCTTGTGTGACGTCACTCCCGTGTTTTTGTGGTGTCCCGTGCTGCCCTTGTCTGGCGTCGTTTTGATGTTTGTGACGTGCCCCGCCTCTTGTGACGTCATTCGTTGTCCGTGATGTCCGGTACCTCCGTGTGGACGTCGCAGTTTGAAGGAACGGCAGCTGATGACGGCTTATCAATCATCGACTCATCGCCATCAACATCAATCATCGTCAATTTGGCATATTTTTCATCATCCTTTTCTTTTTCTCTTCTTCTTTTTCTTCGTTGCTTTTAATTTTCTCTTTCTCCGAATCTTTTTTTTCAAAAATTTGTTTTTTTTCTTCTTTTTCTTTTTTTTTTTTTTTTTTCTTTTTCAACGAATTTCAAAATTTCACTTCATGTTTCTACTTTTTTTCCGGCTTGGATTTTCATCCCTTCTCATCTACCATTTCATGTCTGTGTACCCTTCCTCTTGTTTACCTTCTCCACTTCTTCCTTTCTTACACACTCCTTTCTTAATTCTACTTTCCACTTGCTTTTCTTACAATTTCCCCGTATCTTCTCACTTCCTTCCTTATGGCTCCTTTCAATAAGGTTTTCTCACTCAACTGAAACTGCAACTCAAAAACCCAAAAGCATATATATAATTTCTAATGCTTTTATCCCCCGTAAAAGCTTGTGCTTATATTTTCCCCTCTCCTTTATAACTACGATCAAATTTCCTTATCTAACATTAATCATTTGATTGCGGAAAAAACAGCTGATCATTATCATCTATATGAGAACGATTTATGATTTATATATTAAATCATTTTGGTTTTATCAATTGATTTATCATAATCGTCTGCATGTGATAACGATTTATTAATTTTCCTATTCATTGACCTCTTTAGTAATCAAGTTATCATCAATTTACACATATTACTTATTAACCTTTACATCTATTTACTTTATGATATTCAACAATCAATCTACTTTTTTTTTACCTCGCTATACCGTCAATTTCTGACTTATAACTAAGAGGTGTCTGGCACTGAACGCGTGACCTGTCTTTGCCCTTTGCAATATTGACCTGACCCATTTGCTGTCTTTCTCGGCGTCCCCTATCTCCCTTTATTCGTAGACGGTTCATAATTCTATCTGTGAGAGTTATTTACAAATATTTTCTTGTCGACTGTAGTGTTTCTTTGGGTATCATCTCCCTTTCTTCTCTCTGTCTCTCTCGTACTATTTCATTTTAAGCTTTTTTCTCTTTCTCTTTCTGTTTTATAATAGCTTTTCTCTCTCTTCTCTTTATCGTTTTTTTTTCATCTCTTCCGTCGGAATTTTCCTATTTCTTTCTCTAAGTCTCTATCTCTAGAGTATCGTTTCTCTCTCTCTTTCTTTTTCTCTCTCTTCTCTCTAGAGTTCCGTCTCTCTCTTCTCTCTCTTTTTCTCTCTCTCTCTTCTCTAGAGTACCGCCTCTCTCTCTCTTTCTTTTTTTCTCTCTCTCTTTTTCGCTAGAGTATCATCTCTCTCTCTCTCTCTCTCGCCTTCTTTAGAATATCACCTCTCTCTCTTCTTTTCTTCCTCTTCTTTAGAGTATCGTCTCTCTCTCTTTCTTTTTTTCTCTCTCTCCTTCTATAGAATACCGTCTCTTTCTTTTTTTTTCTCTCTCCTTCTCTAGAGTATCGTCTCTCTCTCCCTTTTTTACTCTCTCTTTCTCTAAAGTACTGTCTCTCTTTTTTTCTGCCTCTCTCCTTCTCTAGAGTACCATTTCTCTCTCTCCTTCTGTAGAGTACCATTTCTCTCTCTCCTTCTGTAGAGTACCATCTCTCTCACTCTGTTTTATCAAAGTTATTATTTCTCACTCTCTCTCTTTCTCTCCCTATATATCTTTTTCTTTTTCACACTCTCTCTCCCTCCTTTCCTCTCGCTCTTTCTTTCTCTCACTCTATCTCCCTCCTTTCCTCTCTCTCTTTCATTCTTCCTCCCTTCTTTGTTCTTCCTCCTCTATCTCATTATCTCCTCCTGTTTCTCACTTTCTCTGTCCCTCCCTCCCCCCTCTCTTCCTATCTCTCTCTCTCTTTCTCCCTCACTAGATTATCGTCTCTCTCTCTGTCTCTTCCCTTCCCTCTCTCACCTCCTTTCTCTCTCTCTCTTTCTTCCCCTCCCTCTCTCTTTCTTCTCCATCTCTTTTTTTTTTTCTTTTCCCATCTACCTTCATATTTTCATTTTCGGTCTTCCTGTCTACAGTACCTCTATTCTTCTTCTTCTCCTCTCTCTCTCTCTTCACCTGGACACTATTCTTTCTGAAAAATGTAGGAAAGTATATGAATGTGAATGAATATTTTCACAGTGCAGGAGCTCTATTTGACCGATCGAATATATCTCTTGCATTATGTAGATATTCATCCTAATTCATATACTTTTTTTTTACATATCCAACACGTTTCTTTTTTTTCTGATTGTCCCTTTTTCTTATCTTCATCACGCTCTCTCTTCTCTTTTCGTCTGTCTGTATTCCCCTCTCCTTTTCTCTTCCTATCCTATCCCTCTGTTGCCTCCCCTGTCTCTCGTCTCTCGTCTCCCCGCTTCGACTCTCTCTTTATATATTTTCTCTCTGTTTTGTTTACCTTTTTTACCTCCATCTATCTCTCACTCTCCTTCTCGCTCTCTCTTTCGCCTCCCTCCCAACATCGCCACCCTTTTTCCTCCCCAGGTAAGGTCGACCATTACTCAGAGTGCTACGCCTTTGGTGACGACATTCACCCCGTCATGAAGGTGCTAAACGAACAGCGCCATCTGTCCATGAAGGAGATCCATCCTCACAACATGGACATGTGTGAGGAGCAGATCGACAAGCAGGAGAAGGTGAGTTTGTGAGGTTGTCAGTTTTTTTTTATGAGAGTCGTATTAGAGATGGTGATTGGTGGTGAAAGTATTATTATTATTTTTTTGAGCGGTGTCAAAGATGGTGGTTTATTTATTTTCTTTATGAGCGGTATTGAAGATGGTGAGATTTTTTTTTGATGTGAGGTATTAAGGATGAAGGATGAAGGGCGAAAGTCTGTATTGTGTTGGTGAAACCTTTTATCCTCGCCTCACCACTGCCTCCATTTCCCCCTCTCCCCCTTCTCGAATTCTCTCTCTCTCTCACCGCCTCCACTTCCCCTCCCCCTCTCAGATTCTCCTTATCTCTCTCTAGCGCCTTCACTTCCCCCTCTCAGATTCTCTCTCTCTCAGCGCCTCCACTTCCCCCCTCTCAGATTCTCTCTCTCTCTCAGCGCCTCCACTTCCACCCTCCCAGATTCTCTCGCTCTCTCAGCGCCTCCACTTCCGCCTCGCGCAGTCCCTCTCCCTCTCACCGCCTCCTCTTCCCCCCCTTCACACATTCTCTCGCTCTTTCTCACCGGCTCCACTTCCCCCGTCGCGCAGTCCCTCTCCCTCTCACCGACTCCTCTTCCCCCTCCGCAGGTCCTCCGCACCATCGAGAACCAGGCGCCCATCTACAACGAGCTGATGAAACGCGGAGCCAAGCTGAAGTCCAACCCCAACGCCCCCTCCTTCCTGGAGCGCGAGATCGCCAAGCTGGAGGAGACGTGGAAGGACACCAACGAGAAGGCTCAGCTACGTATTGAACTACTCAATGGTGCGGGCTGCTGGACTCACTTATCCTCAATTCTAGTCATTATAAAGACATATTACTTCTTACATTTCTTTTTGTCTTTTTTTATGTTTCATATCCTTAACTTTCCTGACTTAATGTAGTTCTCTTCATCTGTATATTTGTTTTATCTCCTTACCATCAGTCTTTTTCTCCTGTATTTGATCCTCAGGTATAGGTGGTCTCGTTCTCTAAAGCTATAATCTTATAGGTACTTAACTAAACCTCCATTTCCCCCTTCCAGGCACATACAAGGACTGGGAGGTGTACGAGCAGCAGCGCCAGGCCATCATGGCTCCTCTGGACACCTTGGAGGACCAGTTCAAGACCTACAAGAAGATCTACGACCCCAAGAAGGGATCAGACTGGCTTGAGAGGAAGAAGAAGAAGGCCGAGGAGAACAAGAAGGTCGCCCTCGAGATCTACGAAGTGATCAAGAAGTGCTTCGCCACCATCATTGCTCTCGCCGGTGAAGACAAGAGGGAGTTCATGGAGAAGGAGATCATCGACATCGACGAGAAGAAACAGATTGTCGACAAGGTGGACAAGGCACTCACTGACCTCACCGAGTTCAACCAGAGGCTCCATAAGATGGTCAGTCAGCTGGCGGAACTCAGAGCCTGGATGACTCCGGCCGGCGAGAAGCTCAACTTCATCACCACCTCCGTTGACCTGTCGCCTGAAGACCGTGTCAAGGAAATCTTCGACCTCCAGGGACAGGTGAGCCGCGGGGTAGTCAGCGTGTTGAAAACTTCCTTCTTTCTTGGGTCTTAACAATATCAGAATATCAGTACCAGCGAGTCCCTGATGGAGATACATATCCTCCTTGATAGAATACTAACAAAGGATTAAAAGAAATAATAATTAAGGTGAAATTCAACAATAATCTCTCGACTCCCATTCCAGGTGAACGAAAGGCTGCCACTCTTGGAACCCTTGGAAGCAGAAGTCCACGCGCTTTTGGACGGAGAGCAAGGGTTGGGGTCATCGGCTTGAGCTTCGAACATTCATGCACCGAAAGCTTCAATGTTTTTTTTTTTCTAAGTCTAAATCCAGATTTTTTTTTCTTGCAACTGCTTCAAAAGCATCTGATCATTTGACCTGCTTGCAGTATGGTTGTGGATTCTGCATTGATCAGTTTTAGACCTACTTTGCACGGAGAATTAGCAAGATTCTGATGTGCACTTTTCCACACTTAGACAATATATGACATTCTAAATATTATTCAAGTCATATGTCTACGGCAGACTTCCACTGGCGTTTGGAAATTAACATCTACTCGCAGTGACAGTGTTTGCATGAACTGCTCTCCGGGTGGTGTTGCCTTTGAGCGCTGAAGGTTAAGTTTCTCACAGTAAACATCCTTTTCATGTTCAGTCATTATTTATGCATTATGATTTGATTTTGGTTGGTTAATTTAACATTATTCTATTGCTATGTGGATTTTACATAATTATTTTTTTCTTTGACATTTCTAACTGCATTTAACTCTTTTTTTTTCCCTTATTAAGGTATGTTATTATGTTTTTTTAATTTCATTTTTTAACAATAGATTTTTTTCCCCATAAGTATATAGACATTTGTTTTTAACTTTTTTTTCAATCTAAATTTCCTTTAACTCCTAAACTTATACATGCACCTCCAAACCCCCTTAAACTAACGTGCTTTTCCTTACCATATTTTTTTTCATTTCTTTCACATCATGCGCTGCCACATCATTGCCGTGTGTGTGCATATGACGGTCTCTTAAACCACATCAGTTCCCGGTAAGTACTACACTGTACCAACATATTCACATTATCAACCTGCTATCCCCCCTTATTTTAAAGTCTAGATTTAAAGGGACACTTTGTTAATTTTTAAAGAAAGATACCTTCAATAAAAAAAAAAGAAATGGCCCTCTAGAATGTAGGACATCAACTCATCAGTCAAACTGCGAATAGACTTTCAATTCATAAAACTTACATGAAAGATATATTTGCTGTTAGCTTGTTTTTGCTTCTGCATCTCTGTCCAAATTTAATCATCATTTGCTGCCGGTAAGTCGTGGCCTTGGTAATTAACTAATAAAAGAGAAAGAAGAGTAAAGGTGAAAATAAGTACTTTTATAATAAGCTAATGAACTATGTGTGCTTTAAATAGACTGTATAACTGTTAACTGTTATGGTGACGGTGAGATGACAGTGAGCCAGAAATATTTGCTTGGTACAACCACACTCACATCACTGAAAAAATGTCCCTAAGATTTTATTAAAAGATTATTATGAGAGTATTATAATATAAATCCATATTTATAGATTGGCTTATAAATAGATCATTCATGTTTAAAAAACTAGTTTGATTTTTTGTTGTTGCATTTGATATGTAGTCAATTTTTATTTAGTTTTTATTTTTATAGTTTTTTGTTAAATGGATTATTTCTTAATCAGTTACTGCCAAGTTTGAACTTTATTGATATAAAATATACAACAGTTGATGACACAACATATATGACATATACGCACTTCATTGTGCCCAGTTTAGACATTTTTTTAGCCTTGCATTTGACATTTTCGTAGATCGAAAACCATATATTTTGAGTAGCTATGAACCTGAAATTATCTTTCAAGTATTAAACTCCCTTGTATACCCATTGTGACGAGTTTAATAGTTTACTGACATAGTATCCTCGTATCTTTACTGAATGTGAATGCCTCATGATGTTGTTGTCTTCTTTTCTCCCCCCCTTATTTCTCTCGATGCATCGCTCCCTGCCAACTACTCCACTGTTGAATGATTATCTGGTTGGACAAAATAAAATGTATCAGCTGTTGACGGTAAGTAAAACCCGTTGTTGCTTTTTCAGGAAGAGAAAATATGTTTTTTTGGTTATGATTTTGTGTGCTAGAATGTTCTTCGACAGGGCCATCTCGTGTCAATATGCATATATACATTTTATTGGATAGAATTTCATCCTGTCATTAATGGGATAATGCCATACATGTTTTCATCCACAAATCGTTACATATGATCATTTTTCAGAACCTTTTCTATTTTTTCTCTTAATTTTATATCATGGTTGCTTTTTAATTGCGAATTTGTGACATTTTCCCTGTATACATACATATATATATTTCAACTATATTTCAACTGACTTTTTCTTTTGATTTTTGTACACTCGCATAAATATTTTTGCTCTAGTTTCCACCTAAGAATCATCAGGAGCCACCCATGCAACTCTTTTTTTTCCCTCTCTGTCACGTCTCATGTCTTGCACAAATTCCTCATGACTCACTATGTCTCCCTTTTTCCATATCTTGCGGTCGTCGTCGCTGGCTTCGTCATCAACAGGAGAAGGTTAGTTGGCCTCTTGCCTTACGGTTTTTGTTGTCTTCTTCTGATCTTGTGATACTTGAGAAGGAGGAAGAAAAAAAAGAAGAAAAGAAATCTGAATAATGGCTATGCCTTGGTGCTTTTGCATTATTTGGCTTTAGGGTATTTTTTTTACAGGAACGTCTACTTTTCTAATATATATATATATATATATATATATATATATATAATATATATATAATATATATATAAATAATGTATACACATATGCATATATACATATATACTATGTGTAAGATTAGACAGTACGAAAATATAAGGTTTCAAAACTGACTATAGAATATTTCTCACATTTATGGGATATACAGGTATGTTTATACGGAGAGTGAAACCAATCACGGTAAAACCTGGTCTTTGTGTGTCTTTTAAAACCCAGTGCACTCTCTGGATAGGGAACAGAAGTCAGCATTTCTCTTCCATCTGAAGGCGACTTTACATCTCTTGACCTTTTCAGTATTGATATCAACTGCTCTTTCGCTCTGGATGGATATGGGCTGAGGACGAGATAAAAAGAAAAAGAAATTTGAGTAAGCGATTGTCTGCCATGCTAAGCTTCTGAGAGCCATTTTTATTTCATTTATTTTTCTCTAATTCGATTCTTTATTTAATCTTGATATCTTGGCCGACCTTTCGCAAAAGTTTTTTTTTTGTTTTCCTTTTGAGTTATTCCTTTCACATATTGATTTTTTTTTCTTTTGTTAGCATGAAACGCCGTTACTGATCAACCATTTATAATAATTTGCGCTTGTGAATACTATTATGATTTTTTTTCTCTGATTTCTGGGTGTTCTATGACTGTCAACTACGTTAACTTCCTTATTTTTGGGCAAATTCAAATTTTGATTATGAAATACCAGTAATAATAATAATAATAATAAAAACAGCAGGTTTTGAGACCTCAAACTAACGTATTGCACCCCCCCCTTCCCCCTTTTGCAATCCCGCCTATGGTTACTCGGCACCAGACCCCCCTCTCCCCTTTTTGCAATCCCGTGTGTTGTTTTACATTCTTGCAACATTTGCAACAACCTTGATGTGGGTCTTCTCTGGGAAATTAATCTCTGGTGTTTTACATATATTCTAATCATATGGATACTTGCATTTTAGTTTATCCATTTGTTGAATTGAGGAATTCAAAGATCAAGAACAGAAGGAATTATCTTTCCTGTTACAGCTTATTTACATATCTACTTTCTTTCAGTTACAATAAGTTTTTCTTTACGGTAATGATGGAACGGTGAAAATGATGATAATATATCTACCCTCATCAGCTACATTGCCATTTATTGAAAGAAGATGAAAGTATTTTTTTAATCATCAGGATCAAAGCCATTGTAATACTAAGAAAAAATAACAAAAACCTTTTTCTACATTCGTATTATCATCACAAGAACCATCATTATCATTAATGTGATTATGAAGCTTAATTTTATTGTTTCTTTCTGAATATTAACATGTTTATGATAATAACAGAAGACGTCGTCGCGATGAATTTAATCATTTATAATCGTTTTTATTTACTCATTTACTAACTGATATCAAAGAAAGTCTTCAGTGTCAAGAAAATACTCCTAATAACACACTCAAAAAAAAAAAAGAAAAAAAAGAAGCAAAGTCTTAATTGATCTTAATTGACCTTTAGAATTCATGTTAACTAATAAACAATTTGTTTCAATCTCATCCAAACAACATCAGCGATGAATACTCCATTTCGCAAAAACAAACAATACAAGATATTGCCATTCAGTCTCATGAAGTACAATTCAAGGATATTAAGCATCATTTGCCTGGATCTCGAAAAAAAAAAATCCACCCACGTCTCCATTCCTACCACTCTAACGCCCACATTTCCTCCCACCCTCCCTCCGCCCACGCCCAACGCAGAGGAAGAAGGCCAGACCAACGAGACGGCGCTCGGACACCTGCGCGAGTTCGAGACCATCAAAGACACCATCAACGAACTCCACGACAGGATCGAAATCGAAGCCGGATCCATCACGCAGGACCAGAAATACTTCGCCGACTACCTCCACGGCGTCAAGAACTTCAAGCCGTGGATGGAGGACGCCGAGAACGTGGCCAAGACCCCCTTGCAGAAGCCCGAGAAGCTGGAGGAGGCCCTGGCGTTGCTGGAGACGGTCAAGGTGGGTGTTGAGTGGGGTGGGAGAGGGAGAGGGAAGGAGAAAGGGAGAGAGAGGAGGGTGGGAGAGGGAGAGGGGAGGGAGGGAGAGGGAGAAGAGGGGTAGGGAGGGAAAGGGAGAGAGAAAGAGAGAGAGAGAGAGAGGAAGGGTGGGAGAGGGGAAGGGAGAGGAGAAGGGATGGGAGGGAGGGGAGGTGGACAAGGAAAAACTAGGAAGGGAAGGAGAGGCAAGGATAGAGAAAGGCGAGAAAGGCAAGAAGGGAGGAAAGGAAAGGGATACTAGCATGGGGAGGGAGAGGGAAAGGGAAAGGAAGGAGGGAAAGAGGGAGAAGAAAGACCGTAGGAGGGAGGGTGAAAAGGGAGGGAAGGAGAGGGTAGCAGGTGGAGGGAAGGAAGGAGAGAAAGGAGAGAGGGAAAAACGAAGAGAATGGAGGGAGAGAGTGAGGAGGAGAGGGAACAACATAGGAGGAAAGAAGATGGAGGGGAGAATAAGTGAGGGAAGGAGAAAAGCGGGTGAGGAGGAAGATAGAAAAGGCAGAGAGAGAGAGAGAGAGAGAGAGAGAGAGAGAGAGAGAGAGGAGAGAGAGAGAGAGAGAGAGAGAGAGAGAGAGAGAGAGAGAGAGAGTTGATAGATAGATGAATAGATAAACAGATAATAGATAGAAATAAAGAAAACACGAAAACAAAAAGAAAGAAAAGACACATAAATCTATACTAACCAGCCCTATCAATCCACCAAGAAAAGACGGAATACAAGCCCCGCCCCCCAAAACAAAACAAAACAAAAAACCGTCTCAACTTCCTAACAACTTCATCTCTCTCCTTCGCCGCCCTCCTCAGACCTTCGAAACCGCCTGCCAGGAGAACAGGTCTAAGCTGGACGCGGCGGCCGAGTCGAGGTCCCTCATGGAGAAGTGCACGAAGGAGGACAACGAGGTCGAGACGCTCAACAACCGCTGGGAGGTCGTGAAGAAGACGGCCGACGAGCGAGTCAAAAAGGTGAGAAACGGACGAGGGTCGGGCGAGTTGCGCGAATTGTAAGAGTTTAAGGTCGAGTTGCAAGAGTAAAGGGCGAGTTGCAAGAGTTTCTGGGCGAGTTGTAAGAGCAGAGGGCGAGTTGCAAGAGTTTAAGGGCGAATTGTAAGAGTTTAAGGGCGAGTTGCAAGAGTTTAAGGGCGAAATGTAAGAGTAGAGGACGAGTTGTAAGAGTTTAAAGGCGAGTTGTAAGAGTTTAAGGGCGAGTTGTAAGAGTTTAAAGGCGAGTTGTAAGAGCTTAAGGGCGAATTGTAAGAGTTTAAGGGCTAGTTGCAAGAGTAAAGGGCGAATTGCAAGAGTTTCAGGGGGAATTGCAAGAGTTTAAAAGCGAGTTGTAAGAGTAGAGGGCGAATTGTAAGAGTTTAAGGGCGAATTGTAAGAGTTTAAGGGCGAGTTGCAAGAGTTTAAGGGCGAGTTGTAAGAGTTTTAGGGCGAATTGTAAGAGTTTAAGGGCGAATTGTAAGAGTTTAAGGGCGAATTGTAAGAGTTTAAGGGCGAATTGTAAGAGTTTAAGGGCGAATTGTAAGAGTTTAAGGGCGAATTGTAAGAGTTTAAGGGCGAGTTGTAATAGTAAAGGGTAAGAGTTGCAAAGATATAGATATTCCACAAGTTGCTGAGGTGAGGAAAGGAGCATGTGTGGCTTGCGTGTTTTAAAGGTAAGAGAGATATAGAAAGATATATAGATAGATATATAGACAGATAGATAGATAGATAGATAGACAGATAGAGAGAGAGAGATGGAGTGAGAGAGAGGAATAGAGAGAGATAGAAAGAGACAGAGCGCTAGAATAGAGACAGAGATGGAGATGGATAGATAGATAGGTAGAAGAAAAAGATTTTATATGCACCCAAAAAAAAAAAAAAAAAAAAAAAAAAAAAAAAAAAAAAAAAAAAAGAGGAAAAAGCAAAACAAAACAAAACAAAAAAGAAGAAAAAGAACGACCAGCATACAAGCAAAAAATAAGGAAGAGACCGAAAGGAATCAACGAACGAAAAAGAAAAAGTAAAAAAAGTGAATCCCCGATACATATCCTCTCCCTAACATTTGAAGAAATGAAGCACCAGGGTCAATATTGACTTGCTAACGTGTAAATATTGTGGCGAGAAATTGAAGGATTGAATCAATATTGACGCTGTAGTAGAGACGATGATCATTAATTACAACCTGGCAAGAAAAAAAAAAAAAATGGAAGTAATAGTCAATAGTCAATAGGGAGTGTGAGTGTATTTTTGATATTATTAATGTATCTCGTATTACGTTAATGCACGAAGACTCGTTATGTAAATGAGCAAAGGTGTGGTCATTTCGGTATTTTCTTTTCTTGAGAAGACAAAGTAATATAGGGTATTCATTGACTTTTTATTTAATTGGTTATATAAACCTTTTTTTAATTATATGTTTTTGTGTTTAATGGTCTCTAGTTTATGTTGTTTTCTAATTATCTTTATTTCTTTCTCCCTCTTTCCCTCCTTAACATTATTCTCTGTCTCTCTTTCCTTTCCCCTTCCCCCTTTCTCTCCCCCTAATCCCTTCTCGCCACCACCCTTCCCCCTTTCCCCCTTACATCCCTTCCCTCTCCTCCCCTCCCTTTTCATCCCCACCCCTCCACCCTTCCTTTTCCTCCCCCACTCCACTGCCTCCCTTTTCCTCCCCCCACCTCCACTGCCTCCCTTTCCTTCCCCCCCTATCCCCACCCAACCTTTCGTCCCCTCTCCCCCCTGAACCCCTCCCTTCACCCCCTCCCCCACCAGGTCCAAGAGCTCTGCGACACGTGGTCCGCCCTCACCAACGTGACGGAGAACCTGACGAAGACGATCACGGACATCCCAGGCTCGACGATGCCTGACGTGGCCACACTCGAAGGCATCTTCAAGGAATTCAAGGAAATCAACGACAAGAAGGTCAAGCTCCTGGCCGTGGTCTAAGATGGAATCCTTACTGCTGCTGCGACATCTTTTTTTTTTACGTTCTGAGGAAGGATCGAGAAAGAATGATGGATTTGTTTAAGGTTATATATATAAAGAGAGAAGAGAGAGAGAAATACGAACGGATGAGTTTCTGTTTTTTTTTCTTTTTAAGTATTATTTAAGGACGTATTTTAAGGGACAGGATGGGAAGTCTTGGGAGTCTTTGAGAGAGACGGAGAGAAGACGAATGAAGAGAAGACAAGAAGACGCAAAAAATCTACAAAAATATAAACAAAAACAAGCGATAGAGTTCTCTCTTCCCCATCCTGTGACGTCAGAGAGCGAACGAAAAGACAAGAAAAAGACAGACGTGAATAAAACGATACAAAAACAATAACAAAAACAGAATGAAGAGATGTGAAGTCTCTCGCGAAGTCAGACGTCTCTGGAACGTTGACTTCGAAATGTCTCTCTTTACTTATCTATCATGCACCGAGAAATGATTGGCTTTCGTCCGTTTTTTACTCAAAGGAATTCATGCTTCATGAATAATGCCTTTGTCCCATGCATGACATTTTGTGCATAGGGTAACAAAGGACACGATTCAGTTTCATACAATTATTAAAAAAAAAAAACATTTTAAGGTTTCTTTCTTATCAAGTAAAGTCGATATCTTTAAAGGGGTTTGACTTTTCTTTGTTTTCAAATATATACAACACGTTACTTTATTCTTATCCAATCAAAAGCGGATAGAAGAAAAAGTATTCAATTATTGGATCCCTGCACATTTAAACGAGTTTGATGTGACTTCATACAGAAAATAATAAAAAGCAAAGCTACTCTTGTGGCAGATAAAAAAAATCATATATATTTTTACATTTCATGCTCGTCTCGAATTCGAAAAAACCCTCCGCGTAAAACCTTTATTTTACTCAGAAAATAATCGTTTCTATTGAACATCTAAAGGGACCAGTTCCAGTAAAACCCCTTTCATGATTTTATTTCCTTTATTTCTTTTTCTTTTGATTTCTAAAATCGAAAAAAAATAGGTGATAGATAAAAAAACAAATCTACCGACGACTCTTAAACGATGAATTACCAGTTTTATTTGAATAAAAGTTACTATGTATTGCGACAAAAGAAGGTGATCAAGTCGACAGGATAATACCTTTTGCAATTTTTATTTTGCAAGTAGGATGTAGATTTATATGTATAGAGAATAGGAATACTTTTGTAGAAGTAGCGGCACTTTCCTGTATTATCCTGAATATCGATTTAATAAAGCACTTTCTTTCCCAAGAAATAAAATGGTTGTTTTTTTTATTGACTCTTTATCTTTTTCACAGTGGAATTCATTATCTTATCTTTTTTTTTTTTTTTCGTTTAGTCCTGTAATTTGGGAGAAAAAGTTCATACTTTTTTTTATAGTATGATACATATACAAAACATTTTTTTCTCTGCATTCTGTTCATTAACATCTATTCATCAGTCAACTTATACCCCTATTTATCTCCCTCTCGATCTATTCACTTACACAACAAATCAACGTATTTCCATATATTCATAATTTCTCTCTGTATAACATCTATGTTATGAACCACCTTACCTGGTACATATTAGTCAGCCTGTACTTATCCGACACATTATTCAGCTTGTACTTACCTAATACATATAATTCAAATTGTACTTACCTGACATATTATTCAGCCTGTACTTACCCAACATATTGTTCAGCCTGTACTCACCTGACACTTATTCAGCCTGTACTTACCGGGCACATATTATTCAGCCTGTACTTACCTGACACTTATTCAGCCTGTACTTACCTGACACATATTATTCAGCCTGTACTTACCTGACACATATTATTTAGCCCGTACTTACCTGGCATATCGTTCAGCATGTACTCACCTGACACATATTCAGCCTGTACTTACCTGACACATATTATTCAACCTGTACTTACCGAATACATATAATTCAATTTATACTCATCTGATACATAATATTCAGCCTTTACTTATCTAATACATATCACTGAATCAGTAAGCAGCAATGCCATAAACCGTAAGAAATGCGATAATCTTATTTAACACATGGTCGCTGACTTCCTCTGCACTTCGTTTTGAATACAAATGAGAATGAATGTTCATCCAGTAGAAATTAGTAAACCGGCATTTATACAATATGGAATAATGGTGCGGTAATGATTATTAATGGTAAGAATTGCGTGCACGAGGTGTTAGAATATAGATATGATTAAAAGACAGGAATGAGATGAAGAGAGAGAGAGCGAGAGAGAGAGAGAGCGAGAGCGAGAGAGAGAGAGAGAAGAGAGAGAGAGAGAGAGAGAGAGAGAGAGAGAGAGAGAGAGAGAGAGAGAGAGAGTGTGAGAGAGAGAAAGAGAGAGAGTGTGTGTGTGTGAGAGAGAGAGAGAGAGAGTGAGAGAGAGAGAGAGAGAGAGAGAGAGAGAGAGAGAGAGAGAGAGAGAGAGAGAGAGAGAGAGAGAGAGAGAGAGAGAGAATTAAAGATAATGATGTCATCCCTAATGTGATACGATAATACACTACCGAACAAATGCTCAAAGTCATATGCCCTTTCATTATCTCCGTCTAGATTATCTTTCCCTTTTGTGCATTGTACATAATGCCCCTTGGTTCCCATCTGTGCTTAATCCTTATATTTATCCCCCTGTCGTTTAATCTTCCTCCTTTTCTTTGCCTTGTTCCCTTTGTCAGTCCCCTCCTATCTATCCCTTTCATTCTTCCTTGTCTATCTTCTTCCCTCCTTCCCATTCCTACCTTCGCAATAATCCCTATTCCCTTCCTACCTTTCCACTTCATCACTTTTTTTTGTTTTGCGGGTTGTTAAACATGGTCGATTCCCCCCACCCCTCATTTTTTGCCTATTTTATCCTTTTTTTTTAGATTTCTATTTTCCAGAGGGACTCTAATGAAAGGGGGAAGGGCCGGGGAAGCAGTGTTGAAGGGCAAGAGCGAAGGGGAAACGCCACAGGACACGTTTGATCCAGCTGTAGGATTTGGGGGAGGAGTTAGGAGTCTGGTGATCTGGCGTCGGGAGGTCCTACGGGAAGCGTGGCACCTGCGCTATTTTCTTTTTTTCCGGGCATATAGAGAGGGCAGTTTTGTTTGCGTGGAGAAAAGGGGTGTGCGTTTCGTTTTCTATATGCCGTTCCGTTTTCTATATGCAGTGAGAGTGTGTACGATTCGTTTTCTATGCGTTTCATATTCTATACCCAGAGAGAAGGTCGCTTCGTTTTCTATGCAAATGGAGATTTGGTTTCTATACGTGGAAAGTGATGCGTTATTTATGCTTGAGTTCTTTATGTGTGCTTCTGTGTGCATCTGTGCATGGAGAGAGAGCTCCATGTTCTATGTGGGGAGAGAGGTGAGCGTTTTCTGTGCATGGAAAGAGAGAGAATTGCGTTTTCATCTGTATTTCATTTCCATGCCCTCCAGCAATGCGAGATTCTCCCTTTTCTCTATGTTAAAAAGGTTTATTTTCTAAGTATGGAGAGACGTGCGTTTATTATGCATGGAAAGAAGTGTTTTTATGCATGGAGAAGGATGGGTTTCCTTAGAGTGGAGAGATGTGTATCATATATGTGCGGAGTTTTATTTTCTATGCATGTGCGTGAGTAGTTTATTTTCTATGAGTGGACAGAAGTCCGTTTTCTATGCACGGAAAGATGTCCGTTTTCTATGCATGGAGAGATGTGCATTCTCTGTGTGGAGAGAAGTCCGTTTTCTACGTATCGAGAGAGTTGCGTTTTCTATACAGAAGGAAT